CCAGGCGTCTAAGGTAGGCTCCCACTACATTACCTTACTGATGAGTCTAGTAGTGTGAAGCCGGGATGAAACGCCAAACTTGTGATATTCTTTGCAATCTTAGTTTTTCGCAGATTTCGAATCATTAGCACTTTAAAATTTTAATATTTATTAAAGATCCAATAAGATGCTATAAGCATCATAAATTGTTAGATTGTTTGTCAATTTAACTTTGTGATATTGCTACGGTAGTTGTTTAGAGTTGCGTTGTAAGTCTGAAGAATTTTCGGCACGCGATTGGAGGAACTACATACGTGGTAAATAAAAATTCACACATTAATTTAGCAACCAAAATCCTGCTTGACCGTCATTTGGCCGATAATATTTCCTTATTGTCTTAGAATTTCGACGGTCCAATAAAAATCGTAATTTTAAAATAACGTAGCCTGAAAAAATACGTTTAATTGTAATTAATAAGACGGAGAGCATTGTAAAGAATATCATTACGTCGACCATGCCAACAGAGGTCTATAGTTACTCGTTGCCAATTCTCGCAAGTGCGAAAAGACACGATTATATGTTTATATAGAACTTCTTTCTAATATCTCCCCCAGGCGTCTAATGTAGGCTCCCACTACATTACCTTACTGATGAGTCTAGTAGTGTGAAGCCGGGACGAAACGCCAAACTTGTGATATTCTTTGCAATCTTAGTTTTTCGCAGATTTCGAATCATTAGCACTTTAAAATTTTAATATTTATTAAAGATCCAATAAGATGCTATAAGCATCATAAATTGTTAGATTGTTTGTCAATTTAACTTTGTGATATTGCTACGGTAGTTGTTTAGAGTTGCGTTGTAAGTCTGAAGAATTTTCGGCACGCGATTGGAGGAACTACATACGTGGTAAATAAAAATTCACACATTAATTTAGCAACCAAAATCCTGCTTGACCGTCATTTGGCCGATAATATTTCCTTATTGTCTTAGAATTTCGACGGTCCAATAAAAATCGTAATTTTACATATTAAGAAATACATATTAAGAAATACATATATATGAATTAAAGTATAAGTATAAAATACATATATAAAATTAAAGTATAATATTACGCATGTAAAAGTATAAAATTACGTATAAAAGTAAAAGTAAATGCTAAGTCGAAAACACGTATAAAAATCGCAAACTATACTACAATGGTATCCGCCAATGTCCCCACGGTAACGTCTCCGTCGAGTCCGGTACGACGTACCGTTTGTCGTCGTACGGACTCAGAGCGATTTTCTTCTCCGACACCGTGTACACTTGGTGTAACTTCGATCGTATACACGACTGTCTACGCGTCATTTCCATCTCTTCGTTCAAGCATCGGGTGTAATTGTCGAACGTTATCGTTCGCGCTACGATGCTGCTCTTTACACCCTTTGCCTTCTTCGTGTCTCTCTTTCCGTCCACGAGCAACGCGTACATCTTCGCTCTGAGTCCAACGAACTCGGTCATTATCGCGCCGTTGTTTTCGTCCTTCGCCGGAAATAAGACCGGGCATCTTCTTGTTCGCGAGAGATATACCGCACGCGTTGTCCGTCGGATAGTCGCTCGTATCGAATCTAGTGATATCGCGTTTCATCGCCGCGTACACGTCGTCGCATTCGACGCGATAAATGAGACTGTCCGTGTCGGTGTACATAATTTTACATTTTTCCTTAAACATAGGTACCATGTACTCGTGGTGAAACTCGTACAAGCAGACTTTTGATATGTCGAGTATACACATACCTACGTAAATCGGCTTGTCGAATTTCACCTCGAGTTTACGCAATTCAACGGCGATTAAGTTTTCCGCAAAGACGCTGCGGCTGTGGAAATTCGGTTTCGCGATCAATGCCTCCGCGCCGTACCGCCCGTCCCATGTAGTGACTAATTTCACGTCGACGCGATCGCGCACGTTCTCCATCGTTTTACCGAATACCGCGTTGTTCATCAATTTGTATAAATTTTTTTCAAAATCGTTTTTCGCGCGCGTTCTGAATTGCGTGTTCAATTCGATGTAATCACGGAGCCAGGCTGATTGAGCGAATCGTAACACGCGATGGATCTTCGTTACGCGAAGGCCGTGATGTATGCATTGCCGAAGGTTACGGTAATGAATGACGTAACGCTGTTTATAGTACAGAGTCGCGAGCAGTTTATTCTCGCGCTTGCCGGGCGGCTTATCGCCCATCGGGCAGAACGGTAGGTCAGCGTGCGCGTCGTGAAGATGTTGTAGATACTCGAGATCTACTTCGAGAATGTACCCGGTGGGCGAATCCGGAGCGATCGCGTTCGCGTCGAAGTTCGCGGCGTCTTTGACCCATTGAAAATCTGCGTATAGCAGCGGTTGGCACATCGCCCATCCGTACAGGTTGTTAACGTCGTAGTACATTAAATACGACGACGGTTCCGACGAGTTGTACGACTCCATGTACTTGTTATTGGCCTTTGCGTATCTGCCGGAACATTGACTTAGGCCACCGCGTATACCGCGCTCGATAAACATCACCATATCTATATCGGTGAGCAACTCGAATTTCACGCGCGTGTGTTTCAGCATAGCGTCCCACGTGAAACCGGGCAATATGTAGTAATGCGCGGGATCGAGACCGTAACTCGCGACGCAACTTTCGCGAAAATTTTCGAAAACGTCGGTCAATAACAATACGTCGGTTTTCAAGTACAGATCGCTGTACTCGCCGAGGGTTCGCACGGAGAACCGCTTCCATACGTTCGCGGCGTGCGCGTAATCGCTCTCGGACACTGTATCACCCGTCAGCGAGCTGTGAAACGATTCACGCGGCGGTAAGCGTGTATCGTTCAGTTTTTCGACGCAATCTACGTACTCGTAAGGAAATACTCCTTTACGAGTAAGCAGATTGAAATCTTCGTCCGACAGACTCGAAAATTCGGATCTCACAATTTTTAACTTATCCTTCTCGAGATAAGACGCTAATTTATCTAGACTCGAACTCAAAAATTTATAAGAATCGATAAATCTTAATTTAACGCAATTTCGCGAATCTTCGTCACTAGTGTCTTTAACGTATTTAGTGAACGAAATGTATTTTTCTTTAGTCAGAGGAAGTAGATCTACTTGCCCCTTGAATTTTGTAGCGATTTCTTTTATAACGAAGTGCGCGTCGTATCCCGATAGGTTGTGGAATACAACCGGTATGTAGAGAGAGTCCTTATAATTTACGTTGCATCCTTTATGCGCTGGGCCGCGGTATCGCCCGGTGAGGTGGCAGTGATCGCGTGCCCGCTCGTCACCCGGCGCGAACGGCCTCTCACAGATGTGACAGTGCGTTGCACTGTTGAATTTCTGCCAGTCGTCTCGCGTGAAATCCATAAGCTGGTTAGCGGATATTATAGCTTTCGCGCGGTGCGCCAAGTCCTCGAGCTGGCGCGCGAACCAGCTGATGCAGTCGTTATCGCGACGAAACCGATACGCCGATAACGTATCGTCGTACGAGCACCGCACGTAGTACCCTATACTAAATACCTCGTGTTGCTGGTACGCGTACGACGATGTCGATGTTGATGCAGCGTCTTCCGTCTTTTGCAAGACGCACTCCAGGTCGGCGTACACTACAAACGGCGCCCGCTCCTTCATGCCGTAGTTGTGGAACTCCAACCACTTTTTCTCCTCGCTAGGTAGGCGGATAGCGCACTTGTTTAATTTACCGCAGTCCTCGCTGTGGATCTCCAATTTTTGGCTGGTATTGAAGTAGTGGAGGCAACTGAAAAAAAAATTAAATTTAATACATTTTTTATTTAATATTTTATTTTTTATTTATTATACTTACCGGTCGCAGAAATATTTCTTGCGCACATATTTGTTGATTTGCGTGCTAACGAGGCGTGACAGATGCTTAATCCACACAAAATGTTCCGTGTTGCCGTCTTGCACGTACAGGAGATTGACGTGCTTCTCCCTCTTGTCGTCGGTGAGCCGAAGAGGTAGGATGTCCCCGTCCTCGATACCGTAGACGTTGACCGACACATTGTTCGAGCGTTCGAATTTCGAAATGTCTTTTAATTTCACTGGAAATTCGATATCCGCGAAGTTGAGCACTGTAGAGTAATGCGGATACAACGATGCCCGATACACATGATTTTCTGCGGGGTACAGAGCGGCTACTACCGACCACGCGAAACACGCATTGTCGTTCGAACTTACGTTAACCAGCGCGTGCTTGTCCTTAATTTTCTTTGACACTTGACATAGCATCCCGCGTGCATAGGATTAAGTTTGTTCACGTTCACCGTCAAGTTCAGGATTCGCGAGAGCGCCCACCCGCTATCGCGCTCCTGGTGCTCTTCGAGCGACGCCAACGTAGGCTCGATAACGCGCGACACGTACCACTCGCCCACATTCGACGCTGGATACAGTTCGCAGTTTTTACTGTTTATACTCATAACGGTGCGTTTATCGCCCGCAATGAACTCGCCGTTGAACGCGGTGTACACCTTCACGCTACCGTGTCTCTCTATAGCGCCTCGCACTCGCTCGAGCACCACACTACCGGCGTCTTCCAAAAACTGTCGCGGTTCTATGTGTTCAAAGTTTATCACCGCACCGGTTAGAACACGCCTCTCGAACGCGGCGTCGATCTCGCGCCACGCTAGAGATCTATCGCGATCACCACCGCCACCACCCACGTGTACGAACCGTCGTTCCAACTGCGTCCTCGCACCCGTGAGTCGCGCGATTCTCGCCACCGCGGATTGTCTGTGCCCGACGGCAAGACGCGGACGCTTGGTGCGGCAGAGCTCCTCCAAGCTCTCGACGCACTCGTCGCATCGTCGCATCCATGCGAACACTCCGCCAAGGTAGCGGCCGCACTGCTCCAACAGTTCGCGTTCCGCACGCTCGTGGTTTTCCATTTTTTAGAAAACTTTTATTTTGCGCATTTGTGTGTGTGTGTGTGTGCACGTTATTCGTTTGCACGCGCTGCACCACCGCTTAACATTTACAATATCATAGAGATCCAGCACCTTGTCATTATACAAGTAGACCGATCGACACTTTTCGCACTCAATGCATGTATCATCGCACTTATCATGCAATAATTTCTTTATAGCAGGATCCCTCTCACGTTTGTAACCCGACACATTTTTATGTATTACCACCACCACTTCGGCTCTTGTACCACTATACGTGTTCATTTCAATGCATCTGCAGGAATGTCTGAGTTTAATCGTAATTATATCCAGTGAACAAAATTGCATGAATTTAATCCCTGTTGTAAACTGCGTACAATAATATCCATACTCTGATTGATTTCCCAGGTTCGTCCACTGGGCGACTACTTGATTGTACGCTTCTTGTTTCTTGCGGTCTGACCAATTGCCAATCCGCTCTTTGTCAATGATTACATTTTTCACGACGCGATAACCGTGTACCTCTCGATCGCGAATTATATGAACCGGCGATGTCCACACATCCTTTCTCAGCAAATTTTCGACGTCGACAAGATTGTTCACACATTCAAAATAATCGTCCCAATCTTCGTCCAGCAAACGATGCGATGATTCGTTGCATTATATTTTCTTATACGGTACATATGGGACATGCGTTGCACGGGTATACTTGGCTCATCAATTTCAGACAATTGGAGCACGTTCGGGATTCGAATCTATTGGTGAAATCAGTGTCGTGCTTCCTTATCACCAACATTCCACCAACGCCAGCGTCCGCGATTCTCTCCATACACTCGGCACATACCGCTAGCGCTCCACCTGTCGAATAATAGCACTGGATTTGACAAAACTTCACGCCAGAACTCAATGCTCGGATTTGCGCGGCTGACACAATTTTTACTAAACGATCGGTATTGTTCTCCAGATCGCTAACGCACCCCGTATCGTCCGATTGCACACTCTCGTCGGAAGACTCAACGTCCATCACATCTTCAAAGTTAACATCTCCAATCGCTTCGTCATTCCCAACATCATCCATATTTTCAATGTTCGCTCTATCTATTGTACTCTCGCGTCTTAACACAATCGATTCGTGACATCTACTGTGACACGGCGCGCTTACGACTCATTATATATTTCATTTCCAACTTCTTCATCCCTTTGTCTTTATCCCTACTGACCTTTCAGTACGCGTCTTCCTAGAAATGTATCTCGAAAGATAGCGCAAATTAATTTAATACTTGTTTTGGAATATCACTTTCGTGATACAATTTCGTTCAGCAGCCATCGGCGCTCGAACGCGTTGTCACCGATATCTCCTAAGAGAATAATATCGTTATCGCGATAAATAGAGTATATTAATTTAATACTTCTATTGGAGGATCACTTTCGTTTCCTGTGATACAGTTTCGTTCAGCAGCCAAATCATAGGCGCTCGAACGCATCACCACCGATATCTCCTAAGAGAAAATATCGTAAAAGGAACCGCCATGAGAACGCTATTTAATTTAATACTTGTTTTTCGAGCACGAGTATCAATTACATCGAAGAAGCATGTTTTCAGAGGGAGGGAGTGAAGGGTGGCAGCTTTTGAAAATATCCGCGCCAGTACTTTCCCCGCGACACTAGCGCCGCCTGGTGGTGACGAAAAATCTGTATCCGTGGTCCAGAACTCTCTTAGTATATGGGAGGGGGAGGGGGTTGGCGGCTTTTGAAAAAAAACTTATTTGATGTCGTCGCCTCGAAAGGGTGGCGGCAGCTTTTGAAATTTTATACTCAAATAATAACATCTCGGTGCATGGAAATGTATCCTCCTCCGGTGGTAAGGGCGAGGGGGCGCGCGGCGGCGGCGGGTCCCGGCGGTAAGGGCGAGGGGGCGCGCGGCGTCCCCTCGCCCTGTGACGTCATTCCTCTCCCCTCCCGTGACGTCATACCCCCCGCGCCTCTGGTTCCCCTCCCCTCCCGTGACGTCTACCCCCCCGCGCCTTGTACTTTCCTCCGCACCCCGCACCACCCTCGGAGTCCCCTGGCTCTGAATTGGTGTACCACCTCTACTACCGGCCAAGGAGCAGCATTCGCGTCTTAAGGAGGTATGACAGGGTGAAGGCCTGAAAAATCGGAGGTTCTTTGGGAATTTTTTTTTTAAATATAATAAAATCAGATAATTTTGCTTTATGGCGTCTTTATTGTATCAATTCTGAAGTATGTAAAAAAATTTTTTTGTCTCGATTACTTATATATAGGCTGCTGTACAAAAGGGTAACCTTGAACAATTACTTTTGCCTCGTTGATAGCAAATCAAAAAATCTACTCGACCTATTGACTTGGTGTAAATTGCATTTTGTTCAGAAAACTTACCTCTATCGTTGGACGTAGCCGTTTTTTAATTAATAAAAATTTCACAATTTTATTCAAGTTTTTTGTAACAAAGGTTTTTTGTAAAAAAAAACAAATTTTAAAAAAATTGAATAAAATTGTGAAATTTTTATTAATTAAAAAACTCTCTGTGTGTCGAAAGTCTCGTGGCAGGTTTTAAAGTGATCCCCTAATTGTTGTGCGTAGTGTATATATAACTTAAACAATTTCAGTCATTTTTTTTCAAAAATTTTATGAACTAATTAGTTTCATAATAATACTACATAGGTTTCATATATATCCAACTCAAAACCGGAATTTCAAACAAAAATTAGAAATTTGACTAATAAAAGCTTAAAGGCTTTTAATTTAAACTATTTTCATACATATTCATATTTGATTAAAGATTGTGGAGCAGATAAGAATTCTTTTGAAATTAATACTCATCTTTTGTGATTCATTTTTGAAATATAAGAAGCTGTTATTTCGATCTTTCACCTAGAACACTATATTTGATTCAAGATTTTGAAGCACATGTGTGTGAGTTACAGTTTTCAATCACGTGTATCTTCATAAGTATACATTTTCAAAATATTATTCTAATTCATAATTAATATTGTGAGGAACGATTGTTCTGTTAATCAATTTCTCAATAACATTATACCAAAACACTTATTACGTTTATTAGCGTATTTGATTATCAGAACAATCACGATATTAATTATTAATTAGAATAATAATTTGTAAACGTATACTTATGAAAATATACGTGATTGAAAACTTGTTAACTTACACTATAAAATCTTGAATCAAATATAGTGTTCTAGATGAGAGATCAAACTATAATAGTTTTTTATATTATTACTGAAAGATAATGAAATGGAAATAAATACGTATATAAAAAATACTATTATACATATTACCATGAAAAATGACTCATATATTATTGAAGGTGCCAGGTTCATCAAAATAAAACATACACCAACAGTTGCCAACTTTACGTCTGACTTGAATACCTATGCTAAGGTTTTTTACCATTTCATTATCTTC